TATATGTGTGTGTGTCTGTACATGTCTGTGTCTGTATATGTGTGTGTGACTGTACATGTCTGTGTTTGTATATGTGTGTGTGTCTGTACATGTGTGTGTCTGTACATGCGTGTCTGTATGTGTGTATCTGTAAATGTGTGTGTCTGTACATGTCTGTCTGTATATGTGTGTGAATTAGTTTATGTGTGTCTGTATATGTGTGTCCGTGTATAATGGAAAAAATGAGTATGTTCTTGTGTGTATATGTGTGCTGATGTGTGTATATCTAAGTTTTTGAGTATATGTCTGTGTATATGAGTGTGAGGATGTGATTTTGTGTATATGTGTGTGAAGTGTCTGTTGAGGATATATTTGTTAAAATACTGGATAGAGGGAGGGAGGACATTAGTTGGTGCTTTTCACTGATGTGGTTGCAATGCTTTCATTATTGTGGATTTGACCTTCTGGATATGTTGCAGGATGGATTTACGGAGCAACTATCTATGATTTGGGACAGGTTTTCTTTTCCTGGGTGTTAGGATTTTATCTTTTCTCCCGGTTTGAGCCGCCTCTGTAAAGTGGAAATCTAACAGCCTTGCTTTCCCGAGGAGGGAGAAAGAGCCTGTATACACTGGATGACAGTCTGTGCAGGATATTTGCTTATGGCAGTTGCCGCTCACACACACACACACACACTCGGTGGGCCACAGCTCCTGGTCTCCATGTGTAGATCCGTCTGTCGTCCTCTCGCAGACTCTCTGCCTCTCCCCGCATGTTCCCATCTATATCCCGGCTCTATCTGTCTCGCCGTGTCTTTCCCTCTCGTCTCCATCTGCCTTCTCCCGATATCCCAGGCTTTTTTTTCTCAAAAAAATTCTCTTTATCTGACTTTGGTCCCATTCTGATTCTGTGTGTCTCTGTCTCACTCGCTTTCTCCATCCCTGGCTCACTGTTTCTTTGTATCGGATTCACTTTCTGTATCTCGGAATGTCCATACCTGAGCCCTTCTCCCTCTCTCTGTTCCTCTGTCTCTCCCTGACTCTCCATCTCCCTTTTTCTCTCTGACTCCCTCTCGTCCCCCCACCCTCCCTTCCACAAACACCCCCCCCCCCATCACCCCTCTTAAATGCTTCAAATCTGTACAATTTGTAACTCTGCCCTCCACACACTGCGACACTCTGGCACAAAATGATAAATGAACATTGTCCTCACCGAAGAGAAGCGGTTTCGAGATGAAACATTGAGGTGTGTGTTGGGGGGAGGGGGGTTGGTGGGGTTCCACCTTGCTAAGGAAAGGAAATCTCTATCTTCCTTTTAAAATAAATAATAGGATGGCAATTGTAGGGGATCTGTCCCAACTTCAGTGACTGATGGCCGCTGGCAGCAAGCACAATATTTTGGAAAGGAGATTGAAGCTACGGGCTGATTGGAGGAAGGGAGAAATCTCCAGTAGAACACCTGGATCTTGGATTCAAAACATCAATGGAATTGATAGTCTGGGAACCCCACTCGGTTTCCGGGACAAATTAGATTAAAAGCCCAGGAAAATCAAAAATGTAATCTCCTAGCAAACCAATCCGGTTCGGGTTCTCTGTTTAAGAGAAGTTCTTTTTTTTTTAACGTGAAACTCTTATTTTTGTCATAACGTTAATATCGTGGTAGCGAGTAATGTCAATTTCCCAGCTTCTGGGGGAGGGCTAATATTTCAGAACCTTGCAGGAGCTCGCTGCTTTTCCAGACTATTTGGGTTTCTGATGATGAAGGATTGCTAACAAGTGTGCAAGGCAGGGAGAGACAGACAGGGAGACAGAGGACAAAAGTGGAGCAGCTTTCGAGGTCCTTGTATAATTAAAGGATTTCCCATATTTAACAAGTCTCCGGATTTTTTAAAAAAAATGTGTTGTCATAGTTTTATTTGAGCTTTGAAGGGGCACGAGTCTTCCACGAGGTGGCAGCACCAGCACTTGGATTCAATGATACTTAGATATTCTATAGTGGGGTTTCAAGATGCATGAGATTTGGGAAATTTTAGGGTCAATGGCAACCAAAGAGGCGAATTTTTAGATTGAGTCCTTGGTGGATTTTTACATTTTTATGAAAATTGTTCTGGCAGAGAGGGGAGAGATCCATTTAGAAATAGGCGTCTCCCCACCATGAGGTGGTGACAGAAAGAAACAGCACAGTTCTATTGCCTTATCATGAAATGGGATTTCAGAGCACCTATAATTCTCTCTCTATCTCTGTCTCTCTCTCTCTCTCCCTCTCTCTCTCTGTCTTTAGTGGAACTATCGGTCTCACCATGCTGTAAAAACAAACCAAACCAGAAGGCTAATGTGTTGTAACCTGATGCATGTAAACCCCAAAGCAAGGCTTTGAGGTGGATTTATGGAGTGAAGTCTGTCATATTTCGAAACAAGAAATTATTTCAAAGCCAGATGGTAGTTTGTCACACACAAACAAAAGCAAACACAAATCAGCCCGCGCTTAGGGTTAAATGAGATTTTATCAGAGACGGAATCAGCTTTCATGGTGGAAATTTGTAGATGCTTTTCCATATTAATTAAAATCGAACTGATTTTGATTTTCACGACAAAAAGCAAAGGCTGCAATGCTCAGGAAGCAAGCCTTGGCATTAGGGTTAATCCTTTCAGATCATAGTTCCATCAGCTGCCTGTGAAGTGACCTCTGGATTAAGTCCTTGATCTCGATTGTAGCTTCCCTGCCCCTGTCAACAGGTTGCCAATTGGTTCTTGACAGAGCCTCTGTAATTGGATTAATATCAACATGTTACTCTCTCCTTATTTACACTGCAGTAAAGAGACAATTGCATTAAAAAAAAGTTCCTGGGATGTGGGCATCACTGACCAGACCAGCATTTTATTACCCATCCCTAATTGCCCAGGGGGTGGTTAAGAGTCTGGAGTCACATATAGGCCAGAACAGGTAAGGATGGTTGTGCAGTGATAGACCATTTCAGAGAGCAGTTAAGAGTCAACCACATGACTGTGGGTGTGGAGTCACAAGATAAAGAAAGCAGATTTCTTCCCCTCAAAGACATGAGTGAACCAGATGGGTTTTTAACCACAATTGATTGGTTATATGGTGGACATTACACCATCGGCCATGGTTGGATTTGAACCAATGATCCCAGAACATTAGCCTGGAGTTCTGGACGACTAACCCCAGTGATATTACCACCAACATTTAATAAGTTAATGTTTCAAGTCTGATGTGAGTTTTGTGCAGAAGTGGAGTCAGACTGCCCTCCAACCGTTAACTCTGCTTCTTTCTCTCTATAAATGCTGCCAGACCTGTTGAGTTTGTCCAGCACTTTCTGTTTTGAAATGGAGTTTGGGGATTGCTGGGGGTGCAGGTCAGCTACAATTTCAATGAATGGTAGAACAGGATGGGTGTCCTCCTCCTGTACCTCTGACCCTATATTTAGTTAAGCCAATTACTGGCTCCATCCACATATTTGTTACCTGTAGCCTGCGCAACTAATGCTATCCTGGTCTACTTCCTTCCCATGTTCTGAAGAACATGAGCATGTTCAACACTTGGCTGCCTGTGTCTTACCTCGTATCATATATCCTGTTCGACTATCACCCCTGCAATTCACTAGCGCCTACACTGGCAACTCATCAATTTACATTTTTGTTTAGAAAGGAAGCATTGTTTTCAAATCCCATATGTGTGCCACTTCTTCCTGTTACTGTGACCTCTCCCCACCCTCCAGCTTTCAAAACCCCTGCTCTGTCAATTCTGGCCTCTTGCTCATATCCAGTTTTGATTGCCTCCCCCACCCCCCACAACCAGCGTCTGGCCAATGGCGGTGCTGCCTTCAATTGGCTGATACCTAAGTCCCAGAATTCCCTCTTTTAACCTGCCCAGTTGTCTCTCCTCCTCAAAGGTTCTGCTTAAAATCCCCAACTCCTTTGACCAGGACTTTTATCACTGTTCTATTGGCCACTTTGTTAGGCTCAGTGCCAATTTCTTTTGACTGATTCTATCCTGTGAAACATCTGGGGATATCTGACTGCGTGAGAGTTGCTTTCTAAATGCACATTGTTGTTGTTGTTGAATCATGTTTGCCCATTGTATGAAGCTAATTTTCCTGACACTTGTTTAAGCTTGAAATGTTGTGGTTTAAGGAAGACTTCTATTTATATAGCATTTTTCAAATCCTCAGGGCATCCCCAAAGTGGTGGGTGGCTAACACAGCGCTTTTGAAGTTTTGTAGTGAAGGAAAGGATCCCAGAAATAGAAATAACCTTGTGGCCAGGCAACACGTTTTAAAGATGATGTTGGTGCAGGGATGGAGATTGGCTAGGACTTTGGACTGAGCTCTCCA